CGGACCCGCTCGAGGAAGAACGTGAATTTCCCCCCCTCGGTGAGCAGCAATGGCGCGGAAGGCGCGGGCAAGAGGCTTTTGCAAGCGCCCGGGTTGAGAGGCCGGGCCCCCCGAAGCAAGAAAGGAAAGAAAAGGGAGCAAGAGCACGGGCGGAGAGAGCCCGACCCCTTGAACCACTCACGGCTTGAGCCAAAATTTCTCTCTCTCTCTCTCTCTATGTATGCAGACAAATACAAGGCATAAGGTTGAAATAAGAACGATAAATAACAATACATGCACATATACATGTTGAGAGAGAGAGAGAGATATATATATATATATACAGTTATGTATGTATATGCATATGCAAGCACTTATGGATGGGCAGGTGCGTGGTAGTGCGGATGTGGTGTTGAGCTCGTGCAACATTCGTGCAACTACTGTTTGTGACATGTTGTCATGTGACTTCTGCTGATCCATCAGCCCTCGGCAAGGCGCTCAACACCACGGACAGCTCTTCCAGGACGGGGGCATCGATGCCAAGCAAACGACGAGGTGCCTCAGCTGCGGCGAACGTTGATCTTTGCAGGCTCTCAATCGTGCCGTAAATTCTGCCACGAGGCCCATCCCGGTCCTGACCAAAGAGAATAGAAACATGTTGACAGCACGCGCTCTGACTGCGATAGTTTTGAATCATTCACATCGTCATGGTGCAGAGCCTGCCAGGCACCGCTGGAAGAAGCCACCCCACACGAGCCATCGCCTCATGCGCCTCAAGAAGCATTCACTGGGGTCGCATTGTCGCTAGCCAAAACACCAGTGGACAGAAGGGGTACTACAGCCACGGATCTCCGTCACCAACCATGCCACACGTCGCCATGGCTCGTAAGCCCTTCATGCGGCTTCGCCTGGCTACCTGTGCTTGGCGGACAAATCCACAGCTACACCGAGCTATTCCTGCTGCTTCATGCGTGGCTTTGGTCTCCAATAGCTCTGGTCAGAAGACACGCGCAGAGACTCTGTCCATCTCCATTGTTCAAAGGAAGAGCTTCTCAGCTGCAGGCTGTGTTTCGCCTGCTCGCAAAATCCTTGCTTTCTGCAGGCGTCGCAAGTGGTCAGACCTACAGGGCAACTGGCATTCATAGATCGTGGGAGGCGACGCCTTCGTGTAATTTGCTGGCAAGCTTCCCATTTTGCAACTGCCGACAGGTGCGGGAGAGCCCAGAGAAAGCCGTTTAGGCCATGTGGTCTGTTCTGGGCTTGCTATGAAACACATCTTCAAACCGGATGTTGAAACGCGGAAGGCCCAAAGGCACTTGGGGAGGGTGGAAGCATGGCTCCACCGTCCCGTCATCCTTCATTCAGCAGCGGTGTTGTCTTGCTGTTTCCTGAGGACACGGCTTGAATGGGAAATGCAGGCTTTGGAGTGGCGTACCAAAGCTGCCAACAAATGTCAAATGACCAACTGTTTTGCCAACAAACGAAACCCAAGCCGCAAACATGAAGGCCCATGATCTGAATTCACTCGTTAGATCCTTTACGTTAAGCTTGTGTAGTGTATGCGATGCCTGCCTGAGGGTGAAGAGGCAATGCAAGTTCAGTCAATGATGCAGGTTCACGCTTCGGTACCATTAGCATCAACGGCTGTGCTGTGCGGGCGGCTTGGAATGCAGATGCTGGAAGTTCGTGGTTTGACAACAACACCTTTTCAGAAGCGCTTGGGCCAGGCCTCAAACTAAAGCAGAAAAAACACAAGTCCTTGCTAGTTTTGGGAAGTAAAATTGTTCCACTCCCAACTTGCTATGCCACGAAAAGCTACTGCAGTGTTTATGCTATCTTGTGTTTGCCCATCTGCTTTCCAATGTCTTGCATGTGACAGCTTTGGTGAGACGACTAACTTTCCGCCAGAAGTCGCGTCAAATCGAAGCGCAGCATCGAAGCAGCAACAAATCCTGAGCTTAGCTGCTCCAACACGCACCGATGTGGTAAATGCCTGCAGTTGCTATCAAGAAAAGAAGCCCAGGAGAGCTATGCCAAATGCGCCACCGACAGCAAAGGGCAGGGCGTGTGGCCTCAAGACACGCTCCCATGCGTAGTGTTTGAAGCGTTTTCCGTTTAAGCGTCCTTTGACATCCTGTGACAGCTGTCAGGATGTGGTCGAGGGCTGAAACTCAGTTATGCCGGCCCGGGTGCCCAAGTCTAATCATCAGCATGCCGACCAGAAACGGTCCTTCAAACAATTCTAGAGCAGGTTGCTGCAAACGGCACTGCTCGGCAACTGTTCCCAAAGAGTGCCGGCCAACAAACACGTCCTGCGCTGGCGCCGAAATTACCACCAACATTGATGACCTTAAACACATGCTTATCTTCGCACACAAGATCTTCGCACAAAAGATCAGCTTGGATGTGAGTAGATGAGTTGCATGTAGTATCACGACACCAGATCTGCAGAACTGGCCAGGGAATCTATCTGTACTAATTTGAGCAGCCGCTGCCGCTGCAGGGGTCCACCCCACTGGAGGTCAAGAAAGCGAAGTCAAAGGGTTACTTCTGTTCTATCACTCAGACAGGGTATCCAAAACCAGATGCCAAGCTGCGGCCAACTGAAATCCAGTTGGGCTGCAGTGCTGGTTGAGCAATGTGCTGGCGTAAGTCACAAGAGGCCCGCCTGAGCCACGCGCCACGCTTTGCCGGTTCCCCAAGCGATTTGAAAATCGGGCCTGCGAGGCCGTACCATATCAAGGCCAGCACCGTCGCCAGCACAGAGGAGGTAAAGGGCAGCCAGCAGAGAAGCCCCAGCAAGACTAGGACAACTTGACCGCGAGCCTCGGTGATATGCAGCACACAAACTCCTTGCCACAGTTGGGTCTGGCCAGCTTGTGCTTTGCAGTTAGCACAGCTTTGTCCATCTGAGGTGCCAAATCCCACAGGTGGAAATACTGCCTGAGTTGTTCCGACACAATCTCATTGAACGAAAGCTGATTCTTTTGCCTCACGGACTTCACGCACTGTGTTTCTGACGAGGCACTGATATCTAGAAGCTCCAAAAGAACCGAGCATCAAGGAGCCCTGTAGCAGGCTCACCAGAACGGGTGCCACTTCCAAGTCATGGAGCTCCCCGTCGGCATAAGACACAATCCAGCCCAGCCTAAGGCGATGAAGTCGTCACATGCACATGCCGCGTTGCGGCAGCCACTTGATGGTTCTGATGATCAGCTGAAAAATATCCCCTGTCCACACCAGGAGCTAGCAAAGAACAGGCAAATAACATGATCTGCAAAGGTCGGGTGAAGCCAAGATTTTGTGTGGGTCCGCGGACTGATTTTTTGGCCCCTCGATGTCAGCACGCTAGAGGTCGTAATAGTAGTGGTGGTGGAAGTATTAGTAGTCGTCGTCGTCGTCGTAGAAGTAGTTGTAGTAGTAGTCGTCGTCGTCTTCGTGGTCGTTGGAGTAGTAGTAGTAGTAGTAGT